AGCTACTTGGGAGGCTGAGGCATGAGAATCGCTTGAACCCAGTAGGTGGAGGTTGCAGTGAGCCAAGATCGTGCCACTGCACTCCAGCCTGGGTGACAGAGTGAGACTCTGTCTCCAAAAAAAAAAAAGAAAAAAACAATCACAGCAGAGCCCACTCTAGCAAAATAACATCACTCAAAGAGCTGTTACTGTGCTGTGCAGACTCCTGGGCAAGGCCTGGCACTGACACTCTCCGGGAGCCCCCACACCCGCCCCCAAAGGCCAGTCCCACCAACACCCACTGCAGAAGAGGCAGGCGCCTTCGCCATCAGTTCTGCACAGATTTCCTCACTCACCTTTTCCACACGGTTTCCAAAGATAATGATTTCCCACTGCTTTGCTGTGACTTGCCAGAGCATCAGCCATGTTCCAAATCACTTTTTGGACACTTTCTGATGGGGAATTGCATGAATATTCTCTGATACGTGTTACTCACCCCAACATAAGACCTCACCTGTGTGTTGAAGCTTAAACCCAGGACTAGGAGGGACGTGCCGCCACGTGCAAGTCACACCTTCAGGTGGGCAGGCTTCTGAGGCTGCAGGGGGGCAAGTGGTGAGGAGGGTGGCATGCATGTGACAGCAAGGCATCACTGCACTGATGTTGGTATGGAAAGTGGCTTGCTCATCGAGAAAGTCGTTATGGAGCTGTCAAGGCACTCAGCTGGTCATGAAGTGTGGGCTGGCGATGGGAGACCCTGTTGCTGGCGCTGAGTAAGAACATGCAAATCCTCCTAGCTGTTAGGCACAGGCCGTGCTGACTGCATTCCACAGAGACGATCAGGGAAGCACCAGGCCTCACCCCAAAGTCACCTCCAAGCCTAGCTGGCCATCCAGCCCAGGTGTGGGGCTCCGAAGCCTGATGCCATCTTCTGCTGTGCTGCTACCCCAGTGCCCACCGTGATGGACAGGCCACTGCCAGTCACACCTCCATGCCTTCTGCACTTCCCCTCTGGAAGGCGACTGCAATAGGTGGTCTCAGCTTCATGCCCCTCGGTGGCCCTGGGTCTCTTCCTTACCTTTCAACACCCAGTGTCCCTGCCTGCCAGTCGTCTACCCATGAGCCTCTCAGCCAAGTGCCACCACCTGCGTGCCCTCTGGCACTCCCTATGGGGTAGACATCCCGTCTGCATCTCTCCAGCCACCCACCGTCATCAGGTGCCCTGCTCTCCACAGGAGTGACCAGCCTCAAACCCGATGGCCTTGGCCCTCGTTCAAAGTCCTGGTGGTGCTGCCATTGAATTTAGAGCAAGGCCACCTACCAGGGCAGCCGGCCAGGGGTTCTTGCCTTCCAGGTGTGAGGACTCCTCCATGGGAAAGCCTCTTGCAGTTTGCGGGTTAACAGTGACCGGGCTGCCATTACTTCCTGTTGCGAGGAGTCAGGAGGAGAGGGCTCAGGTTTAGGGGCTGTGCCTGGGAGCACGTGGATAGAAGGGTGCAGGTATTAGGCAGAGCTCCCCTGTGGTTTGGGGGAATCATCCTTGGCTCTTGGAATTCTGGCAGTAGGACTTGCGGCTGGGTGTCCTTAGGTGAGTCACTCAGTTTCTTGGTACCCCAGTCTTATGACCGTAGGAAGAGGAGCGTCACCTTTGGGATTTTGGGCCCATCCCAGGGCTGCAGAGGAGAGGGTGATTGTAAATGTGGGAAGTGGCTGGCCATGAACACCGGCGGCAGGCCTGTTGTGGGCAGGCTTGGCAGTTGCGGGGTCTCTGTCCCATGCCACTCTGCAAACGGCATGAACAAGAAATGGCCTCTCTTTAGGTGTCCTGTCTAAGCAAAGCAGAGCCAAGTAAAGGTCAAGACAAAACAGAGAGGACAGAGTCTGCGACACAGGCTCTGAGCGAGGCTTGCTAGCTCCATGGTGTTGGGCCAGATGGCTTGGGTTCCCAGGGCTGCAGCCCGTCATCTGTAACACGGAGCAGATCACGGCCTTCCCTGGGCTGGCTATAGGTTAAAAACATGAACATACACACAGAACACCCAGGAACGGGCTTGACACACAGCAAGTGCTCTTTACGTTTTGTGTTCTTCCCTTTTCTGTTTTATGGGGAGCATCGGCTACAGTTTTGTTAAGGTTGGAGGGGGTAATACAGTATAATGATTACTCACCCAGAAATTGGTTGAAAGGTACCCCCAGATGATCACACAAACATAGTTCCAGTGGCTGCAGCATCCAGTGTGTGCTCTGACTCAGGGAGCTGCCTGCTAGCTGTTTCTCCCTTCTGTGATCAACAGGAAGAGAACCTGGTGCTGGGAACTGTTGTCAAAGCCAACTGAAAGGTGAAAGTTATTAGTTCCTTTTGGATTCTCAAGCAGTGAACTTAAGTTGGCCTTTTTAGTGAAAATTAGGAAATATTCTGACCTTTTGTTTGAAGAGAGCACTAATTTGCTTTAATCTGCCTTTGAGGTGGGGAAATAAGAGGAGCTTTTTGCCGGGTGGAAAATGAGAAGCTCTCGCTGCACAAGTAGGTTAGTCACAAGGGAAGAACGAGACATGGTTAATAAGCTTCTGAAAAAATGTTCAACCTCAGGGGTAATTCAGACCTGCACATTAAAACATCAGCGAGGTAGCATTTTGCCTGTTACTAGCAAAGATTAAAAACCAATCATCACCAGTATTGGCAGTGATGCAGAGAGAGACAGGCCTGCCCACGCTGCCCGGGGATGAGCTTCTGGAAGACTCGGCATCTGGACCTGAAACATCTCACACCCTCCTATCAGTAGCTCCCCTTCTAGAAACAGGTCTGAGAGTCAGTCATAAGTGCAGGCAGAAACATTCAGCACAAAGATGTTTGTCAGGCCTTTTTCTGCGGTAGTCATTTTTTCAAACATGGAAAAGAGCTGAGAGTCCAAAAAATAAGAGAGTGGTTCTGTAGGCTGTGATACAACCATATGAGAGAATATTTTACAGACTAATTTTTAACGACGGAAAAATGTTCATAGTGTGTTAAGAGAATCAAACAAGACTTCAAACTGTGTGGGTGTGTTTCTTTGTATATATAATGCATCATGATTTATACATATATATGTAGTGATTTTAAACTATGTTAAATACAAATAGCCTTTATAGGGAAAAGACTATACAGATGTTAACATTAGAGTGTAATATTTGAACGCTTTTCTTTTGTATGCTTTTTCTCTGTCTTCCAACCCTTTAACAATAAGCTATCTACTTAGCCAGAAAAGAATATAGTAAAAGGGGTTTTTAAAAATCATGTTTCGCAACAAAAGCAGTGTCCGCTGCTTATGGGGAGCGTCTCCAGCCCTTCTGTGGCTCAGCCCCACGGTCGTGCCTCAGGCCAAATGCCACAGATTGATTGACACTGCAGTAGTTCTTTCCCAAGCCGTCTTGGAGATGGAGACGTCTTCTTTGGACTTAATCTTGCCTTTATATCCCTTAACAGCAGGTCCTCTATTTCCTGCTTGTTCAAGGGAGAAGCCACAGAGGCCAATTACAGCATGGTTTTGCTCAGCATTTTGGCTGCAGCGCAGTCTATGTGATAATATAAAGTGCTGTTTTGTTTGTTTGTTTTTCTGGAACAGAGTCTCACTCTACCACCTAGGCTAGAATGCAGTGGCACAACCTCGGCTCACTGTAACCTCCGCCGCCAGGGCTCAGGCGATTCTCCTGACTCAGCCTCCTGAGTAGCTGGGACTACAGGCGTGCACCACCATGCCTGGCTTATTTTTGTGTTTTTGGTACAGATGGGGTTTCACCACTTGGCCAGGCTGGTCTTGAACTCCTAATCTCAAGTGATCTGCTTGCCTTGGCCTCCCAAAGTGCTGGGATTACAGGTGTGAGCTATAGCACCCAGCCTAAGACGCCTACTCTTATCCATTGACTGATGAACCATCAGTCATTGTATTAGTTTGTTTTCATGCTGCTGATAAAGACATACCTGAGACTGGGCAATTTACAAAAGAAAGAGGTTTAATCGGACTTACAGTTCCACGTGGCTGGGGGAGCCTCACAGTCATGGCTGAAGGTGAGGAGAGGAGGAGCAGGTCCCGTCTTACATGGATGGCAGCAGCAGAGAGAATGAGGAAGATGAAAAGTGGAAATCCCTGATAAAACCACAGATCTCCTGAGACTTATTCACTACCATGAGAACAGTATAGGGGAAGCCACGTCCGTGATTCAATGTCTCCCACCAGGTCCCTCCCACAACACATGGGAATTATGGGAGGACAGTTCAAGATGAGATTTGGATGGGGGCACAGTGACACACCATATCATTCCACTCCCGGGCCCTCCCAAGTCTCATATCTTCACATTTCAAAACAAATCATGCCTTTCCAACAGTCTCCCAAAGTCTTAACGCATTTCAGTATTAACTCAGAAGTCCGCAGTCCAAAGTCTCATTTGAGACAAGGCAAGTCCCTTCCGCCTATGAACCTATAAATTCAAAAGCAGGCCAGTCATTTCCTAGATACAGTGGGGGGTAGACATTAGGTAAATACAACCGTTCCAAATGGGAACTTGTGGGGGGGGTGTGGGAGGGGTACCCCCACCCGGCTGGAGAAGGAAAGGCGGGTGGGAGACAGCAGGCCACACTCAGAGGATAAACTGGGAGTTCCCAGTGGGCTGATGGGTCCTCAGGGTTAAATAATTGTCAGCGTTGTCCATGACTGTCTGCCAGGAGTTTAAATTGCCATCCAGCTCATTCTCTGTGGCACACTGGTTCTTGTCTGCCTTGCTGTGTTAGGGAATTGAAACACAGGTCTTCCCAGAGGTTTGAAGCAATGACTGTGCCTTCAGCTCCAAACTGTGTGTTGAACCAGCTCTGAAGTCAGGGCCACCTTGGGAGTCTATTATTTCATTTTCTTAGAATGAATCCGTTATGAATTACTAACGATAATGATTCATTATAGTGTCTCATGCTGGCATGTGCTGATTCTCCAACGGCCAGCAGAAATTGCCCTCCTGATGAATTCTTTGCTGTGTTTTCCCCTTTCTCGTAGGATGGCTATTCAAGTGGACAAGTTCAACTTTGAGAGTTTCCCGGAGTCCCCTGGGGAGAAGGGGCAATTCGCAAATCCCAAGCAGCTGGAGGAAGAGCGGCGGGAAGCCCGAGGCCTGGAGATCCACAGCAAGCTGGGCATCCACTGGAGAATCATATCCTTTTCCTGGGGCCACCTGGGCCTGGGGGCACCTTCGCCCAGGGTTCCAACCTCTAAGAGAGACCCATGAGTGTCTTAGCTATTGAATTTTCACCACAGATAGCTCAGAAATGCTGTGGCAAGAGAGGTGGACCAAAGGCCTGGCATTTCCTTAACCCCTTAATGCGTTAAAGGCCCCACTCAACGCAGTATTGATTGGGGTTGAGGAAAGGTCCTTTTGGAGCCAGTGGTGCTCATTCCTTTGGATCACATGCTTCTTGCCAGTGTTGATATTCATGTTAGTGACAGGTTCTAATGGCCACCTATCAGCGCCGGGCTCGGGGGGTTCACAGACTGACAGCTGAAAACACGAGTGCAATTGTCTGAGAAACTGAAATCGGATTGTACAGCTTACCGAGGCATGAAGATGCCATTTTGAAAAGTTGGAGAGAGTTTTCAGCAGGATTGTGCTACGGCACCAGATAGCCTTCTCTGAAGTTCAGATCCGCACCTGCCTCCTCGCAGACGCTCTGCTGGCTGGCCGAGTGCTCTGGAGAAGCCCAGGGTCCCTCACTTGCTAGTTCAGCAATCTCTGGAGAGCAGCTACTCTTGAGCCAGGTGTTTTGCAAGGCATTTAAGAGGCTGAGATGCAAAGACAAGGTCTCAATGCAGTTGTTTGTCTGGTAGGAAATGGATGTGTCCTCTGGGAATTAAACACTGTCAGGGAGCCAGGACAGAGTCCCCTGCCGAGTGCTGCAGGTTCAGAAGCCACTGGGGGCATTCAAGGAAGGCTTCCTAGAGGGGGTGATATTTGAGTGGCTGCTAGGAGTGGATAGAAGTTTATCAAAGGAACAGATTTAGGAAATAGCCCCAAAATACTGAGGCGTGAGAGCCCGTCTCCAGGAAGAGGCAGCTCTGATGGGAATTCTGTCAGTGATCTCAGTCATGCACACATTCTGCAGATACAGGGGTGCTCGCATTGCTCCGTCGTGCGGTCTGGGGTCCTTCCAGGTGGCCTCCCAGACTCCAAAAGTGTTCTCACTCTACACACAGCTTAGGTTCCAGAACCTGAGGCCAGTTCATTTGATCAAGCTAAAGGGACTTTGGGCCTGGTAGACCCACTGTCTCCAAGGAGTTTGTGACGAAATAAGCACTTTGCATGTAGACAGGAAGTTTTTGAACCAGTCATGAAAAATAGAGTGTGTGGGGACTCAGATTGAGCAGGGACAGTCGGTTGTGAAGTGACAGGCATTCATCTCTGTTGCAGAGAGAAGTAAAAAGGTGGGGATGGTGGGAGTTGTCTTTCCTTTGCATTCCCCACAGAGCTCAGCATAAAGTCAGGGTCCAGCCAGTTCTTCCTGACTAACGAGCCGAATGCTGTAGCAAGGAAGCAAGTCAGGCTGATTCCCGCTGCATCAGGCATGCACTCGTCATCCCATTGATCTCCTCCGCATCTCCCTGACCAGCGCTGTGGCTCCCATGGAGGAAACTGAGTCCCAGCCAGTGAGGGGTGGAGCCAGGGACCAATGTAGGAAGATTTGCAGGTGAAGTGCTTACCCTACAAGTCTCAGACTTCAAAGGAGAAAGCTCCACAGACAACCCCTCCACTGTCTGGCTGGGAAGGGAGGGACCCTGGCCCTCATCTCCTGGCATTTGTGCTGCATCTTGGATCTTTCTGATAATCTTTCTATTTTTCTGTTGGGTCTTTCTGATAGTGACTGAGTCTTTCTGATAGGCTGAGGGTTGAAGCGGGTCCATGTGAGGCGGAAGACAGCTCTTATTTGGGGTCTCGGAGATTCAGCTTCTGGCCAGGAGCTCTGTGCAGAGCAAGGTGGTCCTGGATGGGTCAGATGCAGCCCCAGCTCCACACCAGCAGCACCAGTGGAGAAAGGGGCAGGAGGCTATTCTTTCTCCTGAATGATCTTACTCTAGGCTCAGATACAATCCAGAGCCCTTGGATGGTTGGGATTTTGACCTCTGCGTCCCTATGCTTCACAGAGATCGAGCCCTCCCCACCCATCACAGGGCCTTATTGTACTGGACACACAGGGGCACCCTGATCGTGTCAGAGCTGCCGCTTCCCAGCCGCCACCCTGGGCCGGTGCTGCCCTGGGCCATGTCGCCCTTGTCAGCAGCCTGGCTCCTGGGGCGGTTGCATTATCCGTCTTACAGGTAAAAACTGCAGCTCCACTTCACAAATGGCAAGCAGCGTAGCCAGCTTCTGCACCCGGAGCTCACCTGCCAGCCTGCAGTCCCTGCCCAGCACATGTTGCCTTCTCATGGGATGACAGTGGCCCACAGAACACTTGTGTCCTTAAAAACCAGTATCAAAGGAGTATGGAAAATGTCTTTGCATTTGACCTCTCCATTTTCTGTATATTTGCTTAATAATTCATGCAGCACACATATTTATTGATTGCCTACCATGTGCCAGACACATCTGCCCGTACATTTACTGATCAGAAGTTTATGAGAGCTTGATTGTTCCTATGGGCAAATTTAGTGAAGGGGAGTTAACATTAAGGACGTATTCTCTCTCTCTCTGTCTGTCTCTCTCTCAGTATCTCTCTCTCTATCCCCTGCCCCCACTCTCATCTGTTAATGACATCTGGCATCAGATGAATAGCCGACACTTTCCAGGGTCAGAATTTTGCTACTGTAAACCTGAATTCAAGCAGATGGAAAGACCAAAGATTGAATTGGCTAATAATTTCATTCTACATTTTAATAATGTTTTCTAAACATTTAGACTTTGTACAAACATTTGAGCTTCATTTGACACCCGTCCATAGTTGCAGCAATGGCCTGGGGTGGCACATGGGCTAGGGGGATGCATTTGAAAGGAAATCGGGATCCTGCACCCGGTAGGTGCATACCTGTCGACGCAGCGTCTACAATGACATGATGGGCAGCCTGGGGCTGCCGCGGGCCCCGGCCCTGCTCTTCTCCTCTTAATGGCAGGTCCTCTGCAGATCTGCTTGTTCTTGTGAGCTGAGCCCTGGAGATGCCCCCATCTAAGGGGAGGGGACAGACACAGAGATGGGCACTTGCAGTGCAGCATTGCTGGGCTGATGGGAGCTTCCATCACGTCAGGGCTGTCAGAAATGGATGGAGATCTCAGCCCGATCCTGGTCACATGGAGAGACAGAGAGGGCCCAGGGCCCAGCACGTGCTTTGCCGTCCTCAGCGTGGGACCCAGAAGGCAGAATATTAGCATGACCAGATTGAAGTCTTAGAAAGCCACCCCCACCAAGCCTGGGGCCACATGTCCCATGAAAGGCCAGGAAACCTGGTCGGACTCGGGTGGTTCCCGCCACACTCCCGCCAGTTCCTGCGTGGATGACCTCAGTCATGGCCGCCTTCTCTCTCTGCTTCTCTGTTCTCAGTGGGGAAAGCAAGGGCTCCTACTTCACAGGAGCTACACGGGGCAAGTCCCTGTTCCTGTGGCCCACTCAGGGGAAGCCCTCTCCCCTTGCCCCCCCCCATGCCCCCTCCCTGTCATGCATGCCCCAGGTTGGAGGGCTTCTGCTATCTTCCTGCATTTATCCTTATTCTATCCCAGGATCAAAGTTTTCACAAAGGACTCCTCATGCTGACAAATCTCTTAAGCCCTTTCTCCTACGTTTCCTAGGCTTTCTTGCCCACATCAGCCTGCTGGTTTTAAAAGAATCCTTCCTCCCAGCCCCCTGACCCAGGCCTCTCCTCCTTGATGAGGGCATGTTTGTTTGTAACGTCTGTGCCTTTTCCCTGGAGGGCGGGGGCATCTCTTCCTGGTTACAGGCAGCATCTAGCCCAGAGAGCCTAGCTGGTTTGCTATACAGCAGTGCTTTTTGGATAAAACCTACACTTCCTCTCAGCTCCTTGATGGCCTCTTAACCTTCTTCTTACCTTCCAGCTACCAGCATCAGACAGTTTTACTCAACTTGGGAAACCTTAGCATAGCCAGCTCTCTGTGAGCTGTGTTAATAGCAGACAATGGGCTTTACCACATGATCTAGAAATCTTCTTTGTTTGACTTTGGGGTAGGACTAATGATGCTACATCGCTGCGCACGGGAACCCGGGGTCAGAGGCTGGCCCTGCCACTCCCAGCACGCACAGGTGTGACCTGAGGGCCATGTCCTCATCTGTGCAGGCAGAATGACAAAACCTGCTGCAGACCATTGCTGTCAGGATGAGTTCTAAGAAGCATCAGGCGTTTTGATCACCTATGGGTGATCAGATGCATTTTCCTTACCCCAGACCTGCAAAGCAGGTGGTATCTACCCCTTTCAAAAAATGAGTAAATTTTGGAAGTTCAGTAACTCACCGGAGATTGTGCAACTAGACGGATAGTCAGTATCCCAAAATTTGTTATTTTCCTGTTGGCAATGTCAACTGAGGTCACGTCTGCAAGGTGCTGACATAGCTCCTGACCCTGGAAAGTGTCAGCAAATGTGGATTTCCCTTGCCTATTTCCTGCTGGAAGAGCTCATGCTGCTCTGTGACCTGACCTCGGGTGAGGCCCTCCTGACTCATCCTTTAGAATGGGCCTCACTATCTGCTCCTCGGAGCCTCCCCTGCCACCAGCCTCCCTTCTTTCTCACCCTGGCTGCCACACCCCCTTCCCTTGGGCTCCTGTAACACCCAGTACTTCATTCTTGTCAGTTACAGTCTTTAAGTAGTACAGAAAATTAGTTTTTTTTCTGCAGATTGTCTCCCTTGCCAGATTGTGTTGTCTTGAGGTCGGCAGAATCCTGTTCATCCAACAGCTGTTTGTTGGGGAGCTACCATGTGCCAGAGGTTGTACTGAACACCGGGCACACCGGGCGCTCAAAATCAGGCGTGGACCCTGCTCTGATAGTGTGTATTCTCTTTTGCTAGCCCAAGTCCTAAGTACAATCCCTACCACATGGGCATGAAAACTGTTTGTTTTTTGCTTTGGTTTTAAGACAGAGTTTCACTCTAGTTGCCCAGGCTGCAGGCCAATGGTGTGACCTTGGTTCACTGCAACCTCTGCCTCCCAGGTGCAAGCAGT